ACGTCTTTAAGATTTATGAATAAATTGCACTTACAATTAGTAAGAGCATTTTTGCATTGTTTCAAGTTGTCACATGTTAAATTTTATATTTAACTAGCATTTCTTTATACTTATGCTGTGTATCAGTTTTAATAATTACTCGTATTTAAATTCGTTATACATTGATAATGACAGGAGAATTGACCACGTCGCGCACGATTTCATACGTTCAATTACGACATAGCACGATTGTATGTCGCATAATCAAATTGTGCATAATTCGATAAAGCGCAATTTGATACCGAGCAATACGACACCGCACAATTCAGCACCATGCAATTCGACAACGTGCAATTTGACACCATATAATTCGAGACCGAACAATTTGATACTGCACGATTGAACATCTTTTGCAAACACGAAGTGCTTTAAAAATACAAATTCTGCTTTAAAACATAGAAATTATATAAAAGTGCATCCAAGAGTGCAGTCGAGTTGTCCAATCGTATCGCGTTCAATCGAGCGTGTCGTGAATTTTACATGAAAAAAAAATTATTAATTAAAATTTAAATTACATGACGTTTTATATAGTTTATTCTAAGACATATATACTATGTCAAATTGTGCCATATCCATGCGGTATCTAATCTTGCTGTGTCTAATTGAATGTGTTCATTCAAATGTTGCATGTCTAATCGAGCGGTATCCAATCGTAACGTGTGCAATTGTCACTGAAAAAGAGAAAGTTTATTATTATATGACAAGTTTTATCGATTAATAATTTAGGGTAATTATTTACAATAGTGGACCCTACCAATAACCTTGGCCTTGACATATGTTATCAAGGTCATGACTCTGAGGGACTTGCAATAAATTTTAGCCGTCACTCGTTATTCGTTAAGGGGATGCTGGAGTCCTGTTTTATCAATGAAGTACGATTAATTTTCCTCGACTCGGTTTTTTTAATTGCACTTACGGATTGAAAAGTCCTTCTCCACAATTAAAGTACTGACAACAACAGGGGTGATCCCGATTGCTCACGGCTCGATTGGACACCACCAATCACAGCGACCGGTGCTTAGGAGCTCTGTAATCTCAAGCTCTGTGAGTGGCTCATGTCCAACTGGGTGTCACCCCAACAACACTTGTATTAAATTGTAGCTGCCAGCTACAATTTAATACAAAAAAATGAACAAAAATTAAAAATTGTAGTTTTGTCACCGGCTCCTGCAGTCAACTCGTCAAAATATGTGCTGCATATAAGAGTTTCAGATTTTACACGCTTAAAATAAGTAGCCAGCAGCCTACAGAAAACCTCGAAGAATAATACTATGTCTGTAGAAATGAGCTAGGAGCTTTAATAGAAGAGAAAAAATTCGCCAAAAATTTATCAAGTTCATCCCCTTATTATTAAAAAAAATTTGAAAAATGATGTCCCGTTTCTACTATATAAAACAGAAATTTTCTACTTTAAAATATATTTTACGACTTTCTATGCAAAGCGAGTTCCACTCCACCTCCCCCTGCCTAGGAGCGTACGACTTTTCATGCGAAACAAGTTCCACCTCACTTCTCTTGCCAGGAATTACGACTTTTCATTCAGGTAGATCGTGTTTCACGTGGAAAATTGCATTTCTTTAATCGGTCCACTCCGTATGTCTCTCCCTGTCTAGAGTTATCAAACTTTTCATGTAAAGAAGGGGAATAATTGCTAACTTTGACTGTTAATAACTTTATAACAAATAAAGAGCGACGGCTAAAAGCCTTGTTAATCATTCAGGGTCATGATCTTAACAACATATGTCAAGGTCATTGGGGAAGGGGTTCCCTATTGTAAATATTAGATGTACAACTTTGCTTCCGCCATTTTTTTTCCGAAATTTGAGGCTTTATTGTAAAAAACTGGTTATACATTTATGATTCAAAGTATTGTCCATCGCTGGCCACTACTTTCTCCCATCTTTCGGGCAGTGTACGAATCCCGCGTCGAAGAAACTGGTCATCTTTTGAGGCGATCCACGAATCGATCCAATTTTTTACTTCTTTATAAGACCGGAAGTGCTGGTCCGCCAGGCCGTGTGCCATTGATCGAAACAAGTGATAGTCAGAGGGAGCAACGTCTGGAGAATACGGCGG